GGACACCGGGACACCGGGACACCGGGACACCCACGGCCCCTGCCGTGAGCCCGCTGTGCAACAGGGAACCGCTTCCCTGCCCGAATTCCTCTTTTCCTGAAAAATTCCCTTTTTTCTAAGAGTGAGAAAGGGGAATGGAAGGGAATGGAGCGAGTTTCCCTTTTCCTCTCCTTTTTTTTTATTTGCCAAAACCGCTGCTTGCACCAGAACCGAGGTGGAAAACAGGCTCTTCAGGGCACCGCCTATCCTGGAACAGATTCCCAGTTTTGCCAGTCCTTGTTCTCCTCCTCCTCCCCAAAGCTGTGCGCACAGGAGGGCCACTGTGCCCTCCAGACAGGTCCTTACCTTTCCCTTCCCAAAAGCGGAGCTGGGTGCTCGGGCAATTCCAAGGAAACGATGATTTCCAGGTACTCTCCTGGGAGAGCACATTTGCAGTTTTATGTTCTTCCTTTTCCCCATAAAAGTAAAAAGAAACCATCACACGAGCATCAGTCAAACCAGTTTTTCCTTTATTAGGTCCAGCTTCACATCACATACATTGTGACTCAATAAAGGAAGAAGTTATTTCCAATAAAGTCATATTTTAACCCTTGTGTCTCCAGGCGACTGTGTACAATCAGGTAGCATCAGGAAAATGCTCGAGTAATGCACCTGGAACGGAAAAGAACGGAAAAGCCATTAAAGCAGCGGCCTGTTATCTCCACAAAGTTTCCAGGAGATCTCAAATGTGTTATTTTCACAGCTCGTTTTTCCACTCAAAGCCCAATTTAACCACGCACAGCTTCCAAATGCAGTTACTGCATTCCCAACTTCATATTCCAGGGCAGGGACTTAAAGATCCAGAATTAAGTACTATTTGCAGCCTGACACCTGATAGCTCTATTCTAAGCATAATATTAAAAAAAGGCTGGAACACGACACTGGCCATGTCCTGAAGAAACTGAGTTAGGAGACTGCCTTTACACAGCTTTATTTCCATAGGGATTTTTATTTAGGGCTTCATTTTAGTCTGGGAATACAGCACTTTAGGTCTCACCTACACTTAATGACAGATCCTCATTAACCAGAGAAGCTGCTGCTTAGTAAACGACGTCTTCATAGGCTGCAGTTCCTGCGAGAGCCTGGTGTTTAGGATGGAGATCTAAAGGTCTTCCTTACAGTTGCTTCCAAGTTTAGAAATACTCAGAAGTTCAGCTCTAAAAAGCCAGTAAAACAAGCAGCTTTCTGAGACTTGAGGTCGCTGCACTCAGGATGAAATACTACATGCACAGCTCCTGAAATTATCTGCTGAGGCTCCTGAGTATTCTCACATGGAGCAGTTAAGCTCTGGCTCTGCTACAGCCGATCTGTTTATTCTGTAAGCAAGGGGCCCTCCAAATTAGTGTTTAACTACAGAAAAAGATGCTATTTTCCTCCAAATTAGTGTTTAACTACAGAAAAAGATGCTATTTTAAGTGTAAGGTGAAGGAACTTCACTGTTGTTGGGTGACTGCCACCAGTGGGACCCGTTTTCGAGCACAAGCCAGTCATTAGCATCTCCCAGTTGTCTACCTTGGCTGCACTGTGACAATAAAATCAATGTTTGTGCATTTCCAGAGGAAACGATCCTGCCGTTTGCTAAAAACACTTCTGGGGGACAAGCTGATGAGGAGCAAAGGTCGACATGCTGCCAACAAAGTGCTGCAATACCCGTTGTCTTGGCAACTGCTATCTAGAACTTTCTGGGAGGTTGGGTACAGTTGCTGACCATCTTATCCCTTCCCAAGCAAACTGCATGGTCCTTTTTTTTTAAGCCTTCTTCTTTTTCTAGGAGACTGTCGTTACAGAGATATCTGGAGAATCGTGTTACAAGCCTGAACCTGACAGCCTTTCGTGGACCTCTGAAGGTAAGGAAGAGGATTCTGTCTTTGCCAGGGGAGTTTTAGGAGTCCCATGCCAAGTCTCGGAAGCAACGTCATCCCTTACCAATAAGGTTTACACTTTGTCCAGGCCCAGTTCCTCTGGAGTGGAGATTCCCAGTTCACTCAAAGTTGGTCTAAGTTCCTGGATAACGTAAGGATAGATTTCCTTGTGAGGTCCTGCCTTGTCCTAAATGAAAAGGAACGGTGTTATTTCAACAGCAAGCTGCTGCCAAGGCCCACTGAACACCGGCCAGGTTTGGAATCAAGACCTGTGTTTGCAAAAGGGTGCATGGCCTGGTCCACCTAGTGCTCATGAGAGCAGCTTCTGCAAGACAGGAGAGCACAGCCCAGCTCCATCTGCATGTCAAATAAATGAGGTCTGCATACAGCTATACTGGAAAGTCCTCCTACTCATCAACCGTGGCTGCAAGGCATCCCAGAATAATGCCGAAATCCCCCTTTGGGGGATTTGCAGATTGTTCTCAACACTTGACAACTTTCCCTCACTTCGCATCTGGCTGATGAGACCCACGACATGTGTGTCACACCACACAAAAGCACAGGCCAAGCCACGTTCCTTCAACAAGTGGTGCTTTGCAAACCAGCCCAAAGACCATCAACTCCTTAAGAAACGGAATGAAAATTGTATCCAATCAGTAAAACGGGAAAAATAAAAACAGCTTTTGGACAGAACCTGGGAGAAAATTCAACTTTCTTGGAAATTAGAGGAAAACATCATCCCTCAAATAATATTCAGGTGGAGCTCCAGGAAGACCATATGCTTGTCTTCAACTTCTGATAAACTGAGTTGTCCCCTACATGGTGGGGGCAAAAGCGGAGGGGGAAAAAAAAAAAAAAAGATATAAGGAAAACACACAAAGACTCTTCCATTCATCTTATGTCTCTAAAACCACTGAAAGAGCTCCAGTTCTACAGAAGAACACAGAAATAGCCAACTAAGAAGCAACTGATTATGGAGTAGAGTTTGAAGCAAGTGGATTTGACAGCTGTCAGCAAGGACCTCCACGCCACTCCTCACTTGTGGCAAAAAACATTTGGGAGAGCATAGCTGCTGGCTTCTATGACTGAAATAGAAGAAGTCCTGCCTCCATCCTCACCCATTTCAACTCCCTGTTAAGTGAAGGTTGGACTCAGGTTTCAAGGTGCTGGTTTAATGTTGTTTTTCAAGCCTGTGCAGCTTCCCGAGTTACTACTCCCAGCCAGCTCAGTTTTTCAGACCTTTAAGAAGCCAGTAAGCTGCCCTTGCTCGAGATATTTCTAATAATGCTTATTAAAAAAAAAAAAGTAAGAAAAATCCTTAAAGACTTTCCCACCAGAGTCAGCATCAGGAAAGGAAAAGAGGAATGTATCAATGTCACACTTGTGAGGCTGTGCTGTCGAGCACTCTCACCTCAAAACACTTATTTCAAGCCACTGAGCACGTGCTCCTAATGAAGCTTTTGATTCTGGCAGCAGGAAATAGGGGTTTCCCTTTGCACCCCTAACTGTAAGCCAAGAAAAACTCTCCTGCTGCTGAGCCCCCGGCTGCCACTCCACTCACCTTTACAACTTCTAGGATGCGGACAGCGCTGGCAAAGTCATTTAACCGTCTGCATGCCCTCAGAGCTGCATCGATGATTTTTGGTTCCGGAACCAGGTCATAACCCACAAGTGTGTTTACGCCTGTGAATATAAGGAAATATCAAGAGGAAGTTGGCATCGGCTCACCATGCTATCAAAAGAAATCTGCTGAGCCTTAGTTTTTTTTTTTCTCCGCCTCAGGAAAGAATTAAGTATTACCACAACACCAGTCACCATTAGAAACCAAGTATAATTTTCACTGCTATTTTTGGGACACACACAACACATGGCCGAGGGTTTTCTTGTGCTCTTCTCCCTCTCACCGTTGCTCACTGCTGTAGATTTTAAGTGGATTTCATGAAATCCCAGTGGGCCAGTTTCATCCACGCGCCCAAAAGGACTCAGTGTCTGTACCACAGCACATCAGTTAGGGAAGCATTAAGAAAACCAAACAACTTCACTTCTGCAGATGTAATGAAACCAGAACTCGAGCTGCTGTCTGTTCCCTTCCTCTCCTTTCCAAGAGCCCAACACCTAGTCATCCAGGTGATGCTGGAACCATCCCTCTGGCTGTTATGCAAACACATTTATAAGCTCTAATTGAGGTAGTTTAAAAGGAGCTGGCAACTCCACTGAAAATACCAACTGAAGACAACCAGGCAGTCTACAGTGAGTTATGGCCAAGCCATTAAGTCAAGGTCCAAAGAAAAACACATGTGGTTATCCACTAAGCAACAGTTGAGCTCAAATACTCTTTCCTCGGAGCAAGTGTTTCTCTCCCTCCCACCTGGATATCAAAATACGTATTCTGAGGTGCTAAAATTTACAAAGCCTGGACTCCCACTGCCTTGCACCCTCACCCTCCCTCATTCTGCATGCTGTGGTTCCTTCCAACCGCTTGCTTGGTTGGTGAGGTGCCACCACCTCCTGCAACGGGCCCGGAGCTGAGCAAACAGCAGCATGCCAACTGCAGGCACACTCGGAGCAGCCAGATGACTCAGAGGAGATAAAGAAAGGCTCACATAATGCCTTGCCCCCACTGGGTATTTAAAGGATGGCTCTCCTACACCAGACTCCCAGTTTTCACTATTTCTGCTCTCCAACAGCAAAGTAAAAATAAGTTGTTATTTCTGGTCACAAAACTATTGCAATGAGGTTATATTTACTCCATGTTACTCTTCTCTTTTCATTCAACGTACCTTTCCTGAGCTCCCAGGCATCAATATCTGGCTTGTTGAAATATGTCACCCAGCGAGCATCAAATTCTTCATCTGATTCTTGTGACCCATGAGAATAGCAGCGGGCATGCAGTACAGCTGAGTGCAAAAAGAAAGGAAGAGGCTTTGAGCAAACAGAAAATAAGCGTACTTTAATCCCAATCGAGAGACCAAAAGCCATAAAATATATATTTCACTCACTACAGTCAGTCTGGATCAGTCCTCAGGTTGGGTAAGCACTGAATGAATACAGCTTATTAAATACCTGCTGTTTGTTTAATGGCAAAGTGTCTATTTTCTGGTTTACATCAGAATTCCAAAGTGTTCCCATATCCTTTGCTCAGAGCAGGATTATTTGAGAGATGGAGAAACGCAAGAGAGAAGCAATTCTGTATAACCAGTCCTTAAGAGAAGTTTTTCTGAGAGCCCTGTTTCCCTAAGATACAGGAATTTTCCCTCTTCCAAGAGCCAAGCAAGCCAGAGAAACGTAACATACACGTACTTCATCTGAAGTAGCAAAATTCTTCCGTTCCTCACATTTGCCCCGTCCTAAAACTACAGGACTTGTCTGTGCAGTGACTTTAGCTACGTGAATCAGTTTTTCAGGGGCGTCTCTTCCAGAAATCAAACCTTATACCCTATTAGTTATGCCATTATCAACAGAAGACAAACACACTGGCTTATTCCGGAGTAACTTCCCACTGTAGACAACTCCTGAAATTGCCCCGGAACTGATTTTGTAACCCAGGAAAAAGCAGATTTCCCAACCAACAGACCGACTGTGCTGGATGACTCAATAGCAACGAGCTGCAGGCCTTTGATTCCACCACAAGTTCAGAACTGAGGAAGGCTTGTTTCGAAGTTTTTTTTGGAATCTGTGCAACATGACCTGAGCCCAACTACGAAGGCTCTCAAGAGCGTAAGGGACGGGAGCTACTACAGGCTATTGAAGAGTTGAAGGAGAAAACAAAATGACTGCTGTCCAAGACAAAACTCCTGGATCTCAAGGCTTTAATTGCATTAATACTTCATAATTAATAAAGCACAAAAGTGGATTGTACTCCAGTGAGCAAATAAGGTTGACAGGATTATAAACTCATTTCTCCCCTCAACACTATCACAAATTGCTTTTTTGCTGCTCTGTTTTTCAATCCACAAAGGTTGAAAGAGTTTTCCCGAAGGAACTAAAACTTAGGGTACAGCCACCTCCAGCCACATCAGAGCTCTACTGGGTCCTCCCTGCAGAGTGGGAGCACCCTGGAAGCCGTCTCACCGGCAGGACACAAGCCTGGCTCGGGACTGATCCATTCCACGCCGGTAATTTCACTCCACTACTACTTGCAGAGAGGTCGTACACCAGAAATGACCTTGCCAGTCTGCAGCTCTGCTCCAGAGGAAGTCAGACAGACCTAGTCACTTTTTCTTTTTTAACCCATCACGAACCACTTGTGCTGATCAGCTACAAAGTTTTATTTAAAAGAAGAAACCCCCAAAGCAAGTTGCATTTTCACATCCTGCCCAGATATACCTTTCTACTTTGAAGATCATAGCGAGTGGCACACTGCGAAGCACCATCCTAATTCTACATAAAATATCACGGAAGGAACCACAGCAATTTCAAGGAATATCTTTAGTCACATTAAACGACAGCCCGGTTAGAACGCAATCCAGATTTTTAACAAAATTTAACTTTGGTCCAACATTTCAGCTGCAACTGTGGTTCGTGCAATGCTTCCCAAACCATGAAAATGTTTTCAGTTGGTTTAGCTACGTAATTAGGCAAGGGAAAAGCAAGTGACAGGCCAAGATGGAAATATAACGTTCTTTTGCAGTTCTGTAGGGGGATTCCCCATCCCCTCCCCAGCTCTGAAACAGATCTTTGGCCCTGCTTTCTTCAATAAATCACACAGCTGGGCTCAGAGCAAGAACACTCCTCCGAAAATGCTCCTGCACTCATGTGGGGAGTGAGAGGACGCTGCTGAAAAGCCCTCAGGTGCTGCCCATTTTGGGGGAGAATATTTTTTTTCCTAAACACAAAGCAAATCCTACAAACAGCAAGTCCCACTAAGAGAAAAGCCAAGATCAAAGTTCCCGAATGTCATCTTGAAGTCAAAACACTAAAGTCTCTTTCCACCAAGCGCTCAACAAAACTATTCCTTTTAGTCTTAAACAAAGGAACAACTTGGTCAGACCCAAAGGATCCTGAAGAAGATCAAACAAAGACCAGAAAAATTGGAACTCTGGATTTCCAGGAGGCGTTTTTCAGCTGCTGTGATGTTTCTTTACCACCCTGTGCTTTCCACGCTGACGTTTATATCTATACACCAGACTGGAAGCATACACCAGAGCCCAGACTCCGCGAGCCGCCCTGGCAAAGCCGACATGCCGCAGGATCCAGCCAAGCGCCTCTCGTTTCAGTGGGGTCCATCAAGGTCACTGTCACACACACAGCCGAACCATCCGTGCCGAGATTCCCAACTCAAGGAAGGGGCAAAGGGCTCGTCTGTTTGCAGAGGCACGTTTTCAAGAGAACTTAACGAGCTTCAAGGGTGCGAGAAGCCTAAAACCACCTAATATCACGCAAACACGCGTTAAAACTTCCTCGAGTGCCACGATTTGCCAGCTTTCCCTGCTATGCATCAAGAGGAGCAATAATTGCATTGCCAGAATGGCAACAAGAAGCCCTGGGGTTGCCACATGCACTACCTGCAGAACGTTTTGCAGCATTACATAACGTAAACTTAAACCCCCAGGCTCCCGAGATGAGCCTAGCACGTCCCGTTTGCCGAAACACAGCCCACCGGGGCCACCGGCAAAGGGGAACGGGGTTGGAAGCGGTAAGTGGGGTGTCTGTAACGCAAAACCTTGGGCAAGGAGAAGATGGAGGTTTGCTCCTTAGCAAAGGCGTGGGGAAGCGGGGGCCACGAGCAGCCGGAGTACAAAGGATTTTAATGGATTTAAAACCAAAAAAAGAGGGTTGAGCGGTGTCCAAGAAATCACAGCACGCAAAAGGATCTGCATTTTTTTAAAAACGCAGCCCCCCCACCCCCTGCAGCACCCCTGCAGCTCGCGTGTGCTGCAGCACAGGCACGGCCGGGTCTCGGGGTATTTTAAACACGATGGCTCCCCGCTAATTAGCTATTAATTGAGGCCCGCGGGCTCTGCCTTCTCCGCAGTCTCGGTATTTCAGCGCCGGTTCGCTGCTCAGCGTTCACACCGCGGCTGCTTTTCCTCCTCCTCCTCCTAATTGGGGTGTTAATAAGGAAAAGCGAGAGGAGAAGGCGGAGCGGGAGCGGGGCCGGCTCGCCCCG